GAAAATTTCAAGCCCCTCCACCATCTGGATTTGAGCCCTAAAGACTAGAAATAACGTTTATTTCTTGTTCTTTTTCTCTTGGCTAGAAATGCTGTTTAGGAGTCACAAATCTCTCCTGAAAGTTATTTATAACTAGGGTAAGAAAGGTTCTGCATTTTCAACCAACCATCCTTTTCCTACAACCTGCTAAAACACATCATTGGAGGAAGCCTGGTCAGCTATTAGGGGGAACCTTAAAACACTTTTGGTACCCAGTGAGTACACTGCTAGAGTAGTTCACACACAGAGATAGAGCAGGTCACCCCTTAGAAGCCCCCACACTCTTACTACTACCACAGATTACTACTTATGCACTTCCTATCTTTGAGAAAGCTTCAGGTATGCAAGAAATACCCCAGTTATGGCAACAAGTGTACCTCAAATTGAAGACACTTTCTTTACAGAGGTCACTGAACTCAAGCAGAAGTAAAGGCTGATCTTTAAGGACTTTTCCAACCCAAACCATTCTATGATGAATCCAACATCCAGGCAAACATTTAAGACAGATTTATTAAGCCTCTGCATATCAGCATTACCAAGTATCCCTCATCAATCAAAAGCAGCATGGTCTGGTTTTGTATTACACTTGAAGGCCCATCTTCTCTTAGCCAAAAATATGTATTTTAGTCCAACATTATTTCTTGAAGTGACAGACTTGCTATCCAGACACCACCCAAATTGTATACTCTTGGCCTTCAAGGTTGAAATTAGTTACCAGTTTCCAAGCTGTTTTGTCTATTTACAGCCACTGACAGATACCCCACAGTCTTCTCCAGCTATCCAACACTTCAGACTTGGGACAGTTTGTGAAAGCTAAATTAGTTCAGATGTGTACAAAGGTAACAGAAGTATTTTTATGCAGGTTTGTGCCACGCTATTACCCATCTTCACGCTACAACTGATCTATTTTGGAATCCTTTCACCTGGCAACGCTCTCTCAAAAGCCTGAAGTCATAATGGTTAGGTCTATGTTGCTTAAATGGGCATCTGAACTGTATCTCCCTGTATGCTCCATCCCCGGCAGTGTTCAAGGTCAGGTTGGACACAGGGGCTTGGAGCAACCTGCTCTAGTGGAAGGTGTCCCTGCCCCTGGCAGGGGGTTGGAACTGGATGAGCTTTAAGGTCCCTTCCAACCCAAACCATCCTATGATTCTCTGATCTCACTGGGTACCTTTTCCCTGGGCAGCACTGCATCCTGGACATCAGCAACAGGCAAATAAGAACATGAACGTTCTAGCTAAGGACGTCAGATGCAGAGGATTTCTACAAGCCACATGCTGTGACCAGAATCCAACAAGTGGCATTCATTTCATTGAGACTCAGAGGTGGCCATTATTCCCCTGCTTTGTTTTGGATTTTGTGGTTTTTTTCCAGGTATTATAAAGCACTCAAACCCATCTTTTTCTAAGAGGGAAGGAAAAGTGGGCAGAGAGGGAGGTTTTAAAGTTCAGATCAGTATTATCCATGCTGCTGCTTATTCTAATCTTAACATTCACTCAAACATCAGATTAGTGTGGTCAACGCTGGAAAAAGAAGAATCAAAGGAGTACAAACAGAATGGACAGTCTGCAGCCCAGAAATACAGGAGCATTACTCCAAATCCTGAACTAAACCAGTACATAACTACTACTTTGGGGGGTTACAGGAATCTTGATCCCCATGATCCATCTGGGAGATTAGATATCACAAGCATTGGCTGTGAAAGTGAACTTTTCTTTGTGCTCCTGGCAGAGCTGAAGTCCAAGAACTGAGCCTCACTGCACTGGAGCCATGAGCCACAGCCAGACTTCTTCAGAGCCTGGCAAGTATTAACATCTGTATAGAACTGTGTGCTACCTTCCCTTAAAGCTTTGTGTTTGTCATCTGGGTGAGACTGTAAGTATTTTTATACAATGCTTTTAACATATAACTGAGAATATATAGTATATAGCTGGCCCTTACTCAGCAAATGGTGATCATGTAACTGAACCACATGAACAAGGACCTGAACAAGTAGATCTTTCTATTTTCACATTTCTATACGATGCCTACAGGCAGGAACTGATTTTATGATGACCTGAAATAAAATTAAGTGTCATATACTATTCACTTTAAAACTGATCTAAAGCATTTTTAATGTATCAACATGAGCTTCCACACCTCCCCAAGAGGAATGGTTGTTAATTATCCTTACAGATCAAAAGGACACATGGGATGAAAATTCTTTTAGAAGAGGAATATTTAATCTAGCAGACAAAACAGAAACCCAAACCCCAGCATCTGGTTACCTGAAGGTGGAGAAAGCAAAAAAGTAAATATAAAGTATGTACTTAAATTGTAAGGATATTTTGGTGAATCTGACTATGTAGAACAGATTTTTATAATGGGGACTTCTCTGTATCAGGCCTTGAACATGGGACTAGCATTTTTTCTCTGCCACCTTTTACAGTTCTTCATTAAGATTAAGCCCAGAGGAAGTGGCGTAAGTTCTTGCAACCCTGAAATAAAGTTAATTATCAGTGTTTGATAGCTTGGCTAAGCAGTCCACTAATTCAGAGTGGTCATCTGTTACTAAATCACAGGGGAGAAAAACAAACTTCGAATTCACTTATCACCAACATACAACTATACAGAGAAGTGTCTGAGTATGTTAAACAACTGTTGAAAGTGACGAGGGATGGAGGGGTAAGCTGTGCCAGAGGGCACTGGGTAGGAGACAGGAGCAGCAGAGAGTGGTCCTTTACTATGGTGGTCCTTTAAGTAGAGGATCAGCAAAGGCTAGCAACAAGCAAAGCTGTTCAGGGAGGCAGGAGCTGGGCCAGTGTCCAATTCCACCACGATTTGCCCTGGAAGAGCTCAACTATAAATGCAGAGCACCCATAGAAGACTGCAGTTCCTGCAAACACATGAAAGCTGCCAGAAAGTCTAAGAGCTCTGCACTGATTGCAGTCAGTTCACTTGGTGATACCATTTTCAGGGTAAATAATAACATCAAGAAGCAAAGGACTGTTAAAAGGCCACCACACTCCAGCCTACTCGCCTGAAGGGACACTCTAGAGTGCACAGGGTCCCATCAAACTGGTCCTGACACCATATATGTTGTGGTGAATATCCAGCACAGTAAGCTGTGATAATGGTAAATTAATTAGTGGAGCCCACAGAAAAAGATGCAGGAAACTACCTTACAGCTTTAAACCAAGATTGAGTATTGTTTAAAGACAATAATCTGTAGTTCAGAAGCACTTATGAGTCTGCTGGAAATTCCAGGGTGTTATCCCTATTAAGGAAGTGTGGTGAGATCATCACAATAGTTTAAGTTATAGCTAGAAATGTTAAAAGAAAAATGAAAGCTGTGTTGATTTTTTTAGGTTTTTAAGTTCCTACCTGATTTAGAGACATAACCCCTCTGATATGGGTGAGAAAAACACATCCAAAGTCCTGAAGGATTAATTATAGCCCAGCCCCTAGCTAATGACCATCTAATTTGTGTCCAAAAAGCTACTGAGAGGTAATTCCATTGCTTCAAGGGTAGGGGTAGATCTCGTACTCTGACTCCAGGAGCTTTAATGTGTGACGTGTCATCAATTATTTGGTAGCACTGGATTCTTAATCTGTATAATCTTTAACAAGAGTAAGTATTCATTCAAAACTGAAGATAAATAAAGACAGCAAGTAATAATTTAACATCTAAGCTCAGATTTAACATCTAAGAACAGATTGTAACTGAGCACCATATCAATTTGACAGCAAAAGCAAGGCAAAGAAACATGGACAGCTTTATATACACACAGAAGGCATCACATAACTGGTTTGAAATAGGAACCAGTTTCCAGGGGCTATGAGCACCTCCAAATATCCTTTCATTTCAACAGGAATTGTGCACAGTTAACAGACTACTGAGGCCATGCAAACACCTACATCCAAAAGTTAGCTGCTGCTTCACCTAGAACAGTCCTCCCCACACCTCCTGAATAACAGCAACTCGTAACAAGTCCTTCTGTGTTCCCAAATTTAGCCAAGCTTCCCTTTATACAAAAAACATGAAGTACCACCAAATGAATACAGATCTTTAAGAGCTGAAACAATAATCATTTTCTTCAGAAACTCAAAGATGTGATACAAAAGAAACAAGACCCAGCCCACATATAAAATTACAGGTTGATGTTATGTTTAACTATTCATATTAAAGCCACAGATGATGTCTAGTATGAAATCATGTTAAAAAAAAAGTTTCAAGAAAGCTTTACTATGATAATGAAATACAATGTGGTGAAGTTTAACAAAGTCCATAGCTTTAGCTGTTGTGAAAATATTATTTACTTGAAATGCATTCAGAATTTCAAATTCCTGAAATGCAAAATTTTCACACCTTAAGGACCCCACCATAGCTGCTCTCCGAAATGAAGAAGTAGCCTTCATAGCACAGGAAGACAAAAGCCTTCTCTACTTCTTGTTACATAAAGGAAGGATGAGAAGTGCTCCCAAAAGAAAGTCAATTTACAATTTTAAAAGCTTATTACAGAGAAAACCCCATACATTCCTTTCTTTCCTTGTGACTCTACAATATATTAAGCAAGACTGTGCCTAAACTCAGAGGATGCTTGATGTTTTAACTGCACAAGCATTAAATGTTGTATTTATCACTGAAGAGTCCAACAGCACACTTCAACAGCATCAATCTTTACACTATAAGATAGGAAAGCAGTCACTCTGTTGTACTCAGATTGTTGCTTGCTTGCACCATGGTGTAATTGCATTTAACCTGGAATCCAGTGAGAACTCACCCTGTCATTTCGTGTTTCCCTGAAAAAGCCTTTCTACACTTCTACATAAACCAACAGCCACACAGGATGAACAGCTCTTTGGTGCTTTCATTCACTATAAAAAGCAGGTTTTCTTTAAATTGATAGCTTAATAGATAGGCTAAATACAGCTTTTGCCACATTTCTTGCTTGTAATTCAATGTAATGCTTCTTGATAACTCAGTCATCATCTTGCTGATTTCTTTTCTGTCAACAGAACAGGACAGTTCATAATGTTAGGACACAGTTACCTGAAGTAAAAGCACTAACAAATCATGACAAGTGTTTCCAGATACAGCGGGTCTTGGACAGTGAATGCATTTCTAAGCCATTTTTTGAATGCTAAGAGATAATGTTTCCAGGAAATGGAGCAGAGCAATATCAGCTCTCTCCCCCATCCCAAACTACAGAATTTTATTTCCAGTAAAGAACAAGATATTTGCAATAGAAACAGTATATACAAGAACCAGAAAACATGATAGTGGTAGAAGAAGTCAGTGGTCAAGACGAAGGCAACCTGCCCTCCCTTCCCTTGCTTAAACAGATGTCATGTTTTCGTGTCACTGTTCATCTAAGAAACAAAGAAATTGTACTGAAAAAGGAACAAGTGTTTGTTTTTTCTTAGTATACTTATCTTCTAACTTTTAAAGAAGTTCTTAAAAGCATTAGCTTCAGCCATTCAAAAAATACATTTCCATTTATGCTACATTTGTATTTACATTTAAACCAGAAAGAAAACAGGTTCTTCAATAAGATTTGTCAAACTGCATTCACTGCTTCCCATAAAGATAACATTAATTATCTGAAGCAAGCTCAGTATGAAAGCTTGCTCTTCATACTTCATAAAGATCAACCCAACAACACACTGTATGATGGCTTCATACAATACGTCTGCTATTACTATGTAACCCATGTTAATTACAAAAGAACAATTCCAGGCACTTCGATGTTGCTATTTCACAAAGATGAATTAAATGTTTCTCGCTATTTCTTACCAGTTTAAGAAAGTCAATTAATTTGTGAACATCCTCTCCTGTAGAAAGGTCCACAAAGTCTTTCGGCAGTCGGTAACTCAGGTACGGACTAGGCTGGACAGTAACTTTACTGTTCGTACAACGGAAAACTGGAGAGTCCTTTGGAAAACACATTGGATAAGACAGTATCTTACAATAGAATTATTATTTAAGATTTCCAATCAATTTCCTTACTGAAGGAAAAAATATCTCTATAAAATATCCAAGAATATCTCTAAATGCTCAATTGTAGCAGCAGGTTTTGGGTAACTTGATACAATTTTCAGTTCAACACAACTGTTTTCATGCAACACAACTGTCCACTGTATGGCAATAAACAGCTTCATTTTAAGGACGGAAGTTCAGTAACTTCACATCAGACTCTGATCAGATGTAAGCTGAAGCATGAAGACAAGTCATTCTAGTTTTCACCCAGACTTAGACCAGAGAAAATTGTGTAAAGCATCTGGCACTGAGAAATAGAAAATCCTCAAAACAAAATACAGGTATTTCATGGACAGCTCAAGAATTGGGAGTGTGTTTTAACAAAGACGACACAGCTTTTAGCAGGAAGGTTCACTGGATGGGTCTTCAAGCAGTGAAACTACAAGAAAACAGCATGAAGAGTGGTGTATTTCCCTTCCAATGTGTTCTGAAAATGGTGACAGAACTAAAGCAAAGCTCCAAGGTTAAAATCAGCTCAATAAAGCTTGTCACTCCAGTTACCTCTAATGCAGTTTAACAGCCAGAAGATGAAGAAAAGCTCACACTGTCTGACTAGCATCTCTCCTCTGACAACTGCCAAGTGTTCCCAAGGTACAGTAACATGCTACTTCATATCTTCTATGCAGCTGTCCAAGGACTCGTTAAGATGGTCTCAAGCATGCAGTGAGAAAAAAGCTGGAGTACAAATAAATGAAGACTGTTCCTCCCTCTCTGTATTCATGGGAAGTTATTTGTTTCTATGGAGGCAATGCAGCTTGGAAGAGGGATAGAAAATCCCTGCTCCGCAAGTCCAGGGAGTTCAACCAGAGGACAAGGCTTCCCTGAGGGCATTTGATATGAGGAAGAGACAAAAGTTAATCTTCTTTTCACCTACCCCCAAACATAAATCTGGAGCTCTGGGAAACTGTATGACAGATATCGGGAACAAAGCAGAACTTTAAGTGATTAAATAGAAAAGTAATAGATTTTAAGAGAAATTGAAAAGAACACACAGAAACTGTATAAAAGCAATTTCCAGTGCATCTTCCTTGCAACGTGATCAAAGCTGCAAGATGGGCTTGTACTGTTTGAACTAAAACTTCCCTTGCAGGCATCTAAAACCAGGATGTGATGCTTGTTGAGATTAACTACCATCTAATACAGTAGATTCTGCTTACAAAGAGTTTACATTTCATGAGTTAAGAACCTCTATTTACCTCAATGGAATTTGCATCACAAATTGATCATCACAAAGAAAGACAGACAGAATAAACAAAGGCCATAATGCCTGTTGGATATTAGCCCTCCCTCACCACAGGGCTGTACCTGTTCTGTTGCTTCCCCTTCACCCTGGTCTCCTTTCAAGTTTTTCCCAGAGGTCAGTTCTTCCCATGTAAACAGCAGAGAGTCTGTTACTTCACCAAACGGGTTAAAATCTATTAACCAAATCTTACCCTGCAATGGAGCAATACAAGCATTAAAACAAGCCACAGAATTAAAACAAATCAGAATACACATCCTTGTATTACTGTAGCATGCTTGGTCTTTAAGTAAAAAGATGTCAAAATTGAAATCACCATTAAAACATTCTAACATCCTTTCTGATGGAGACAGTTTTAACATTCATCAAGCTATGACTTACTAATTTATTTATTTGTTTAAACAGAAGATTAAACAAAGCTCAAATAAACTGAATTCAGTTCTATGCAAGGTGCTTTCACATGAGACCATAGATGTTCTACCTAATCCTCATGGTCCCCCTCTGACAGCATGAACAAGGAATGGGAACAATCAACCAACCCAGCCAAACAGGGATATTGCTTTCCATCACAAGCCACCTGCACATTGCTGTACATTCAGCAGTCTACAAGAATTGCTGTTCTTGGTTTCAGAAGAGACTAGAAGAATACAGAGCAGGGTCTGCAAAATGCTAGTGGAGATCATGAAAGCCCAAAGGTGCTGCACAAATAAAGAATAAATAAGAGGCATTTTCAATATAGCCATTACTAGGAGTCCAGACTAGTTTCTCCTGCCTCATCTTTAACATGTTTGTGTTCCAAACAACATGCACAACAGCACAACTGAAAAATAAAGGCAGCAACACCAACAAACATGTTAAAGGTAAAAAGAAGTCTGCAGGAGCAAGGTTTTGCATTCCTTGTGTCATCTCAAGATACAACCCCCAACATAGGGCCATCTTTTTTTACCCATGGAATTATATTCTACTCAAATAAAGCAAAACATTGTAATAGATTAAAATGACATATGACTACAGATACTAGTAAAACTTTGCAAAAGAAGCATTACATCTGGAAGAAATCAGACCTATCAAATATGGGAAGAAAAAGGCTGCTGTAACAGAAGCAGGACTGAAGCATTTTATTGTGTTTAGTGAAGATCAACTGGTATTGGAAACCAAACCTGAAGACTGTGTAGCTACTTTAAAACTTATTTTGCTTTCTTTCTTTCCCTTATTCCTGAAGGATCTTCTTTCTTTAAAAGATCTTGATACAAACAGAAGTATCTTCAATGATTTACACTACAGCCATCTGGTTTCTAACTTGCAAAGATGCTTTTGAAGCCTTCAGCCACAAGCATAGACAAATTAAGATTAACTAAGAGGCATTTTTAATATAGCCATTACATGGAGTAACATGGAAACTTCTTCTCCCACCCACACTACCTAAATCACCACCGCAGGCACTATAGAATAGGAAAAGCATGGAAACCCATACAACACAGAACAGAAACACTCTGGCTGGTCAGCTACCATCCATAGGGAATTACTCATGCAGCTGCGGAGAGTCCCACCACAGAAGAACCAGTGATATTTACTTGCAAACTGGAACTGAATCAGGACCCCAGCCACTGAGCTTTCATAGATCCGCCCCTCTCGGGACAGATCCATGGGGTACAGCTCTCACAGAACAGATTTTAAGAAGCCAGTGCACCACAAGAGCAGTACTGAAACCAGACAGCTACAAGAGGAACTGCATTGCAGGGACACCTGAGTGGTTTCTTACTTGTTTTGGAAGGGTGAAGAAGCACAGACACTCGTGGCTAAGCTGCAACACCTCTGCACTAATACTGACACCATGGGTGCAGAAAGCAGGCAGAGGCAAGCTCTGCTTATCATCTCCATCTTGGTTCCTCTTCAAAAGGCAGCCACAAATTCTCATTATAAGTGATGTTTTACTTTTGCTAATGGGGACATCTTGTTAGCTCCAAGGCAGCAGGAGGAGGAATCTGTAATTTTAGATTTATTCTACCACACTAGAAAAACAAGCTAATGAACCAATTTAATCACACACAGAGGCAATGGCTGGCAAAGTTTGTTCAGCGGTTCAGAGAATCTCTCTTTGCATCAGAAATGTTTATACTTAATGAAGGACTTCCCAATGAAAGGCTTTTGCAGAGACTCCCCAATGAAAGGCTTTTGCAGAGACTCCCCCTCACCTCAAATACATGAAACAGCTTTTTCATAGGAGCTCAGGATCATTTCTCTAGAGAAGAAATGTACCCTGGAAAAAACTGAAAACTGGCTCTGAGACTACTGAAAGCAACCCCAGGTTTTTGTGAGCACCCAGCAGTATTTCTCCCTCCCTGCAGACAGCAGTACACCATCTACAGCACCAACTGTTTCCATGGGATGGTCTTAAATCTGAACTGAGCTTTGGTAGATGCAAATGGATGAAAAATGGCAAAACAAACTAAATATCCCTTTTCAGGGCTCATTAAAGGGAGCGTATATAACCCTGGTTCAGTAAGCAAACTGTCGTAAGATTAAATGCTCTTTCAAGTCTTACATGCAATGTCATGATTTAAATGTAGTTTCAGATGACTTGCACTGTGCATCTAAGGTAAAGCTATTTATCTGCCATCTTCTGGTACTAATAATCTTTGTCAAATGAGAGTACAGAAATGAATAAGTCAGGAAAGCAAAGTTGTGCATACCTGCAAGGTAAAAACTTCCCAACCTGTATTACATCAGATTTTTCTTCTCATCTTAAACCAGGAACCAATAGATTTATCCAATCATGTCAGCTTCACCCTTTGTTTTGCTAAAGCATTAAGCGTACTGCTGAAAGGAAGTGCCTGTCACAGAGACTGTTTAAAGGAAGTTAAATGATAGATAAAATGCAAACTGAAGTGTTACATCTCCCTGACTCCAGCTGCACCTTCATGCACAGTGACAATGCTCACAAGGCAAAGACACAAGCAATAGTTTGCCCATTAACAAGAGCAGCTGTGAGCTGGTCATGGTCTGGAGCCACTCACTGCATTTCCTTGTCTTATCACAGCGACTTGTCTTGAACATGGTTAGAAGCTGTTAACACCTGGGAGATAAACAAAAAGCAGCAGCAGAGCTGATTCTCAGGCTTGTCAGCTGTTGCCCAATGATGGTGAACTGCTAGCAGCAAAAAAATACCCCCAAAACCCAAGTGGTTCCAAATGAAAAGAGGCTACTAGTCCTGCAACACAACCTCCTCAGGACTAGGTCTCCATATCATCCAGTGTGGAAGACTCTGTGACAGTGTTTCTTCCTTAAAAGATGACTTGTCTGCAAAGTCAGGCACTAGCTCAGATGAGCTCAGTGAAGAGGGTGTAATAGGAAAGGTGTTCTGAGTCAAGCCACTGCTGCTTCTAATGCCACCCTCCAACTCAGCAAGTAGGACCCGTGGCACCCTACTCTGTACAGTCTCTCCAGTAACTAAAGCAAGCATGGCGAGGGGGGTGCTCTCATTCACAACCATATCAAAGAACAAGCTTCTCCAAGCTGAATATTTAGAGTTGAAAGAATATAAAATAAGCGGACACTGGACATATCTCTCATTCTGTAGGTGAGGTTGCTGTGCAACCACAGCCTGATGAGGAGCCTGGGCTCTGGAAATCAATCACACTCAGCAACACTCAATATTCTTCTGCTGCCTATAACTCACATACAAAGGGAACAATGAATAATACAGTTACAAACCACAAGAGTGTGTGTGTGAAAGGAGGATCTGACACACAAAGGGCTATCTGGCAGTTTACAAGACCTGAGGGTAGAAGGCACCGAGAGATATCTACTAACAGACACACTTTATCTTGACAGATGAAGGAACACTGTTCATTTGAGATCGCACAGGCTGAAACCTTTTACTTAAATAATCTGTCTTCATGCCTCAGCTGTGAGGCACTGTACCCAGTGGCAGAAGCTGGTTCAAAGCTGAACTGCTGCTCCTCAGTTTGCCTGACAGCATCCTCAAGTCTGTTGACCCAAGCCTGGGCAGGTAATTTTCACTACCATTCAGCACAGCTGGTTTTAGCCCATAGCCTGATTTTAGGTACCTATGTTAAGAAATAATGCTGAGTAACAGTACAACAGCTGTTTTCCACATGACACACATTTAGTTTCTGTTTTGCATGATTTACTATTACACAATTACAAAATACAAATTCAGAACCAGGACTTACTACAAACACTCCCAGCTCAACTGAAATAAAGACCTTCTCCAATCCCATAACTGTAAACAAGTCAAACAGTGAGACTCATAAAAGTACAGAGCAAAAGTATACAACCACTGGTTTTACATTTCTGAGTTAGGATTTGGAGACTCTTTAAGCTAAAACACTTATTTTCCATGCACTAATGTGATTCCCCAAATCAGGCTGTGATTCCCAAAATCCAGTTCTGAGATTTAAAGCTACATAATGCATTTTTGGTTGTGGTTGCTTGTAAAACAATACATGTGTGCCTTTCAAGCACAGCTCATCTGACCTACTTCTCTCCATTGATACTAGGAGGGGTCAAGGTGACCAACTCTCATCTTGGCACCTGAAGTTCAGATGGGACATTTCTCCCCATGCCATTACTATCCAGATGTTTGGGGTTCTGATCTGCTGAGCACTCAAAACCACAGCTGGAGCAGCTTGAAAAGAAAAGATTAGCTTCCATTTGTCACACACTGAGCATGCTATATTCATATACTCTTTAGACAACTATCCCTTTGTACCCCAGATTTCCACATATGAAGTACAAGTTATCATTTTCTAACCTCATGGGGATTAATCTGAAGGAATATTAATGCTTAGTTTCAGTAAATTCAGATACCATATGGAAAAACACTGGGGCGGACAGGGGTGGTGCGCGAGAATATTTTGTAATAACCCCCTAGATTATTTTTTTAGTGAGCAAAATATCACCCCCACCTTATTTTTTTAAATATCACAGTGATTCTGGCTGAATGTTCAGCTACATTTCCATCAAAAGTACCCAGAGTAAGCACTAAGCAAAGGGAACCTTAGCAACAGGTAGTGCTTTGCTAAAGCAATTTAGTAATGTTGTGCAATACTGATAATGTATCTATCTGAAAAGAAAATGCCTCAAGCCTGTCAGTGTTTAAGAGGCATTTGGACAATGCCCTTAATAACATGCTTTAATATTTGGTCAGCCCTGAACTGGTCAGACAGTTGGACTAGATGATCACTGTAGGTTCCTTCCATCGGAAATAGTCTATTTTAAATGATTTCAGCAAAGACTCTCTGTGTCATAATGAAAACTAAATTGCCTCCAGTAGATCCATAGAGCAGAGAGAACTGCAGCTGAAGTGATGTACTTTAAGACAGGATGCTTCTCTGGAAGGTATTTACTAAATAATTACATCACTGGCATAGGCATATTTACACTCCTAATCCTATTATCCTCCTACCGTAAACAGTCTCATAACATAGAAAAGGACCTGGGGAACAGAATGACAACATCAAGTATTTTAGGGTTTTTTTGGGAGGTTTGCTTAGGGGTTTTGGGTGGGCTTTTTTTCCTTTGTTTTCTTATGGTTTTAACTATTTTTTTTTACCCAAGGACCACTTGTAGGAAGATGAAGTTATCATTTGCTTCATTGCTATAGCATTTCAGGAAAGCTTTCCACAGAATAAAGTTATACACAACCTATTGTTACTTACCCTGCTGTCTCTGTACACATCAAACACAACTGAAAAGGAGAAAAAAGGAAAAGTTAAGATATATACAGAAGATGTCTAAATCTTACTAGATACTTGTGTACAAAGCACAATCTGCAAAGTCAATATATCCAAGGAACTGCCAGCCAGATTAGGTTCGTTTCCAAGAGGGAGTTGAAACTTTTCAAGAAGCGCTGTTAACGCACTGAGAGGTTTTTCCACTTAATGATGGTTTCGTCTGTTGAGTTTTTCCCCCAAAGAAGAACATTTGATAAACTCTCAGCCCAGGGAGAAGCTTATCTTTGACATTAGTGCTGTTTGCTTTACAGCAGAACTGAGAAACTTCAAGGAAGGATCAACTCCACTGTGCCAGACCTCGCACTAACATTTAACAAGGGAAAGTTCCTGCCTGACAGAGATTAGGACTGCAGCAGATAACAAGACAAACAGGTTGCAGGAACAAAGGGGGTGGTGGGCGTGCTGAGGAGGAGGTGGCAGTGAAATGGCTGTTTACTGTAACCCAGAGCAGATATAGCACACCTACTGGTTGTCCACAACTCATTCAAAAAGATTGATGCAGAGCTGCCTTGGGTAGCTCCATTGTTGTCCCACCCCTTAACTGAATTAAGCCTGAACCTTTGAACATGCATCTTTCTAGTAGCTTCTGTTCTGTATGGTTACTCAGCTAGGGAAGTCGACAGATAAGCATTCAGGCACAACTACATGCAGAACTTGTACCAGTTTAGCAGAAAGAAAGAAAGGAAAGCCAGATTTAGAAAAAACTCAGACAAATGCTCTACTGTCGCTTCCTTCACTATCAAGGAAAGGAATATTTCAGCTAAGAGATTTCCCAATACATGCTGGATAAACTAAACCCAGGATATGACTGAAGAACACTTGAGCCTCAGTGACTACTCAGGAAGCTGCCCATCAGTAACAGGGATGTTGATTGATCACATCCATGTGATTGATCACGTGAGTAAGGCTACTCAGCAACTTAATCTAACATTTCATGTAAAGTTGGCTGGGCTAAGGGCAAACCACAGCTCAACCAGTCACGTCAGTGTTTTTGCCCATCTAGCCTAAAAATCCACACAGCTCTTTGCACAATCTCAGTTACAACACATTAAAATGTCACTCTGGGATTAAAAGCTGTATTTCCTTGAGAAGACAAGCCTAAGCCATCAACACAAAGAGCAGCACAGCAACCCTAAATTTCTTCTCCAGCTGCTTATCTGAACATGTTGCCTGTACCATACACTCTCAGTTGTCATATCCCATTAATGGAACGCTTGCATCTGAGCTTTATTATCAAACGATGCCTGTCAGCTTAAAGCAAGGCTATGTGGCAATCATGGAGGCTAATGGCATTTAGTGGGATCTGCTAGACTGACTGCACACTGGTGACCAGCCCAGGATACTCACAAACACTGAACAGAGAAAACCTAAACTGTTCCCTCTTCTTAGGGACTACCTCAGAGCAGAAGTGTCATGACCCAGTGAGACTGTAGAACTTTATCAGCAATAGCTTAAATTGGAGGGTAAGCCAAGGCTCAACTGTACAGTACCAATACCTCCAGAACACTGTTCTTCCTGGGCTCTTATGAGAAGTATTCAGAAGATTCTAACATCATTTAGAACTATTTATAAAGCATTCACCCATCTGTTATCCTACTGCTCTGACTCTGCAATGCTTCAGCTGCTCTGACTCAACTCTTCCATCTGGAGATGCTACCAGACCAACTGGAAAAAGCAGAGCAAACAGCATCAAAATCCCCAATGAAACAAGAAGTCAGGAAGAAAAGCTATAATACCTTGCCTTCAAAAGCAAACAAACAAGCAAACCCAGATTTTTACTGTTAACAACACATATGCTACCAGATGGTGGAGCAACGGATATGACGGGGGATGAATGAAAGGTGATAAAAAACCCAAACCAAACACCAAACAAACAGAAACCATTTTCTGCATGGCATTTCTCTGCAGCTGGACAAGTCACCAGCACTTAGTGCCTACATAGAAAAGGTTAACAAACCCTCATCTCAGAAGGTCACCCTGAAATCTCCTTTACCCAGAGATAACTCTATGGCATAGTTTTATGTCCTTTACGTAAGATGACAGTTCAGACCTTTCAGTTTCAGAGCCTAAATCTAGGCATCAATTTCCTAAAATAGTGCCCTGAATTTTTATCTAGCAGTTGATTACATACCAGCTAAAATTACATTGGAACACAGAGGAAAATTAAAAGACAGTAATCAGAATGTCAGATCTATATGACTGATCCATATCCATGAGGGATATGGACCTATTAAATTAATCTACTGATTTCCAGATGACTAGTCTTCTCCAAGCAGTGATCCTTGAGAACTTCTCAGGACTGAAATAAAGCAACCCTGCAGAGCCAAATGATTAAGAATATTAAGATAACAGAGACTGGCACTAGAAACTATCATTTTCAGAACGTCAGGAGAGGTCTATTTGATTGCTCTGGTGGCTCAGTAAAATAGCTAACCATAGAATGGTTTAGGTTGGAAAGCACCTTAAGATCGTCTAGTTCCAACCACCTGCCATGGGCAGGGACATCTCACACCAGACCATGTCACCCAAGGCTCTGTCCAACCTGGCCTTGAACACTGCCAGGGATGGAGCATTTACCACTTCCCTGGGCACCCTATGCCAGTGCCTCACACCATGTTCAAAACTAAAGGCTGAGTTTTCAAAGCTTTATAGAAGACAATACAACTACCAGACAATCCTTATATTAATGTATTTTACTAAACTGAGGTTTGGCCCATGCCAGACCCAATTTAAATTTCTCCATCATATTTTTCAACACTAGTGATCACCCAGCACAACAGAACACTATCCAATTCTCACCTAACCATGCAAGGAAACTATTTCCAATAAAATTGGCAAAGGACTCCACATTTAAAGAACAAGACAATTTAATTGGGCTGCTTCAGTCTATCAAATACCACACACAGCCTTTATTCAAAAGTTTCAGCAGCTAAACTGCTATGCAACAATATTTTAGGAGAAATTTATATCATTTTTTTAAAAGCAGCTTACAAATCCTTTCTTTGATGAATACATCAGTAAATTAGCAGCAAACATCAGGCAGCATCTGTATAAACAGTATTCTTCTTACTAGTGAATGCCTTCTGTTAAGCACTTCTTATCTCACTTCTCAGGTTTAGAACTTTTCCTAATTAAAAACAAGTATAAGGGGAAAAGCCTTAAGAAAGAGTCATTATGCTTCTGAGAGGATCTTTAACTCTTTCACTTCATTGTGTTTTCCTGAAAAGCTCCAGCCTATACCTTCAGGGTTCTTTTGTTGACAGTTTTATAGCCGTTCAAATACTACATTGCTCTGCATGCTCTAGTCACCAGAGCTGTAAGACTCTCGCAGATTAAAAAGAATCAAGCCCTGTGAAAGCAATAGGTAGGAAGAGAGAGATGCATATATACAGATTTAAAATATTGGGGATGCCATTATTTATCAAGAAGTACCCATTTTAACACTGATCTCCAGCAGTAAATTGGAACTCAATGTGCTGTAGAGGAAACGAGCCTGGTTCAGTACAACAAAGGGACAGGAGGACAGGTCTTGTTTTTCAGGAGCTTGTCCTCCAAGCCCTTTCAATTTCAAACCTCCCAGGATGCTGCAAAAGAACTTCAAAGAGGTAAACCCTTGATTTCTGCTTTTAAGTCTTTGTACCTATGCATGCAGTTAAGTACTTAAAAACCTTCACAAACATCCTCTTTTCCCCTGCTCCCCCATGCTCCCCTTGCTAATTGAAGTCTTAAGATACTTACAGTCTTCATCCAAGAATTTATACTGTATGTGTTTCTTGAAAAACTCCTGTATTGATCTACAGATCTCCTCGTGTTGCTTAGAGATATGATCGTAGTATTGAGTGTAGTCCCTCTGTGATATACCTGTCAATAACGTTAGTTGATTATGAAGAGCTTTAGGCATGCAAAAAACCCAACCAGACAAAATGCACTTATCAGAGATAAGCATGTTATAGTTTATATTTCAGAAGACAAGGTTCTCCCAGGTTTTAACCATTACCAGTGACATAGCATTTGGCTTTATCCTCCTACACTTAATGTACTTCCGTTAGGAATCTCTTCCTTACACAGTTCTGTCCTACATTTTGTGAACCCCATTTTATATGTACATGCTTTGACTATCTTTAAGTGAACTTCAGAAGGAACCTTTGCTTGTGTTTACGTTTAAGTTTCCAGTTCCTGCCTTTGCCTTTCAGTTTCATTTCCTCTGGTTACTCTGGTCAAAAACCTTTTCTGTTCTGCACATCAGGTGTAGGGACTGGAATTTGGAACCATGAAATGAAAGGGGTAGAGGCTAAGCTTGCACATTAGCAAAGATGACAGATCTTAGCATACTATGAAGATTCTTATCAACTGATTTTTTAAGCACAGAGTAACCCATACCTCTTTCATAAGGTGTTACCAAACACATACTTTGTTGATAAGGCGTGTTTCATTGCAGGTGAAACCTTCAATCTTAACATCAATGAGATGGCATGCAGTCTTCTTTCTCCCATTTGCTTCACGAGGGCTTTCTTGCATATCTGACATTAGATAAACTGCCCCAGCTACATCACAAGCTCTTAATCTTAGATATTTGTTTGTCACCAAGACAATAGTTTCAATTGACGTCAACAGGATTATACACTTGCATGTATCTTAAGTGACAGGAGTTCTCATACAGGATGTGTCAACATCACCACTGCAATTCCCTGCTGGACAAATGTCAAATCAAGACCTGCCCCATCACTGCAGAATGAGTAACTTAGGCTATTGGGAAAGAAAAAGCTAGAACCCCCCACGAAAGATGTATCAATGATGGCAGTTTGCTGTTATATGCACAGCAGAGATTAAGTTTTACTGTAGGACAATGCTGACTACCTCCAAAGATGTGCTCTTTCAAAAAGTCATATGAAGTTTGTGATGTCAGTGGAACTTTGAATTATTAATACCACTGAAAAGCTTAACTCAGGCCTAAAAACAAGAAACAAGAGATGGTGGCATCTCAGGGGATACAGATGTGTAGCTGGGAAATCATTCACTACACTAGGCAAGTATGACTCCTTAGTTTGACTGACAGGCTTATTAATTTTAAAAGCAGGGGAACATATGGTGAAAAAGCTTGAAATTGTCTTCAGAAATGCAGCTGGAGTGATAGCTAAAAACCCAGACAGAACAATAAAACACCTATACTGCTGGATGGGGCTTTAAGCAACCTGGAATTGTGGAAGGTGCCCTTGCCCATGGCAGGGGATTGGAACTAGGTAAGCTTTAAGGTCCCTTCCAACCTGTCCTGGATTAATACTGGTAGCTGTATTGGGTTTCAAAACAGAGTAATGAATCATTCAGAGTGTTTAATTAGCCAGTGTACTAATGCTTTGAGGTATCTAAAAGTAAATATCACTTTATATATTCTATATTAAACGTACATTCAAATGTGTTAGAGGTTATTACAGTGATGCATATCTCTGGCAGTTGTGGTGTTCCAGCAGCACATAACAAGACAAGATTTAGCTCTTCTCCCTTCAAAAAGCCATGTCTGCAGCCACTAAGCAATACCCACTTAATGGAGGATCTCTGCTATTAGAGCAAGATAAACTCTGTTACAGAAAACCATAATAAACCCTGCAACTGGCACAAATGGAAAGAGAATGGAAAGATGAGCATAAAGCACCTGAAGAATAGCCAAATAAAAGGGCTATAAGAATGGTATGTGTTGACAGCACCTAGATTAGCACATCCCAAAACATTTAGGTGCAGCTCCATAGGATTACACCCAGATCAGGAAACAAACGACAGGGAACACATCCCTAAAGATTCACAGAAGTGGGACAGGATGGAGCACCAAGCACTAAATTGCTGACAGCACCTACCAGAAACAAAAAGGCACATCCAAAACAAATACACAGTCACCATGCTGAGAAGTAGCCAGGAGAAACAATGAGGACTAGACAGCTAATATCCCTTCCATTTCATCACAAGGAATCCTGGACAGACCACTTGTATATCTGCACCTTGGTGCTCGTGAATGTGTAGGGTTGAGACACACAAAATGACCAAACATCTGCACCTTGGTGCTCGTGAATGTGTAGGGATGAGACACACAAAATGAGCAAATTTGGTTTTGTTTTAAAGCAAAAAATCACCTTCCTTCCTATAAAGTCTGGATTAGAGCTTTGCTACATCACTGCTATAACATTTCCTTGTTAGAGGAATTCAGGCAGAACGATTTAGTCTCGTTAAGGACAAATGTGCACCAGTCCTGTGCTATTTACATTTCTGTTCATCTTTAAAGATTCCACACCAAAACTGAATTGAAACTCCAGAATAGTATTTAGCCTAAAATTAAACCGCTCAATCCAAGCACCTGTAAGTGCAGCAGACATCTAAGCTCCTTCTACAGTCACCAGAGAACAGTCAATACATCCAGAGGAGTGTAATTCAGCTAAATTTACCCTAGAGCTGCCTAAAACACATGCTGCCAGTCCTAGAGCTGTCTCAGGCCTCGTGATGCACCCACCAGCTCTTTGCATGCTGTGGGTACCCGTGCTGCTCAGTGTCACTTGAAACATTTTACACTGAAGATTTTGAACCAGAGTAACAGATCTACAGGTTTTCAGACTAAGCTACACGGAATATAATATGAACTCAGACACCTCCAACACCTGTGGATGTGTTCTGACCTCCCCAGCTTTCTGCATATAATACCCACATGTGGTCATGTTTTGTCAGCGTAATACCCAACTGCCTCTCTATTCGTTCTGCAAGTTGGAGATGATGCAATTCACTCCTGGATATAAAAGAATCACTTACAAAACAGCCTTTGTGTGAAATTTCAGAATTAGCAATTAGAATTAAGAATATTCCCACTGTAATACTGAGCATGCTGTGTTGTCAATACAGTGGTGTGTCACAGTTTAAATTACAGAAAGAAGAAAACATTCATTCCAGAAATGAGGTGTGATAAAGAATTGTCTTCAGATTTAGCTCTGATTCAAGGAATTAGAGAAACTCCTCAGAAGTTCACCTAATAAGTTTAAGCAAATCCTTACCTAGAAGCTTGTTTTCCTTGACAAAGCACCTGAATTCTGCACCAGGGATTAGCTCACACCATTTGCGAAGAACAAGCTATATAGGAAAAACAAAGGACAAAGTATTGTTTCAGAAAGGTAACAGGTAGTATTTTGTATGCCTTCTAGATCTACAGCTTTGCTGTAAGAATTAGACACTTTAGAGCAATTAGACTTAATATTCATTTCATAGAATCGCAGAATGCTTTTAGTTGGAAGGGGCCTTTAAAGACTATCTAGTCCAAACGAATTTAAAGTAGAAAGGTTCAGACTGGGCAGAGTCACAGAAAGGTTTGGGCTGGAAAAGACCTTAAAGATCATCTAGTTCCAACCCCCTGCCATGGGCAGGGACACCTCACACTAGATCAGGTTTCTCAAGGCCTTGTCCAACCTGGCCTTGAACACTGCCAGGGATGGAGCATTCACAACTTCCTTGGGCAATCCATTGCAGTGCCTCAGCACCCTCACTGTAAAGAACTTCTTCCTTATATCCAACCTAAATCTCCCGTTTAAGTCTGAACCCATCACCTTTTGTCCTATCACTACAGTCCATGATGAATAGTCCCTCTCTGGCATCCTTTTAGGCCCCCTTCAAATACTGGAAGGACACTACAAGGCTTCCAAGCAGCTCTCTTCTCCAGGCTGAGCAGGAGACTGTTTTTCACCATGAGGACTGTCAAGCATTGGAACACAGAGGTTGCGCAGCCTCCTTCCACTGAATCCTATCCACATTTGATAAAATGCCAAGCACCCTGATTTGTTCTCACTGGTTATCCAGCTTTGAGCATGAGACTGGACAAGAGACCTCCTGAGGCCCCTTCCCACTTTAATGATCTTATGCTCTTCCGCTTGGTATGGCATTTGTAACAGTGAAATTATTTATGAAGCAACTTCAAAGCTACATTAATGTTGAAGCATGGAAACCAAAAACCCTGCTGAAGAACCCAAAAAAAAAATCTGTGATGGAGTTGGCAGAAAGTTGCTGCCTAGCCAAAAGAGCTGATGAGCAGAATTAAATTTAACCAAATGAAACTCTATTTTGGTATACACCCAAGCAGAATCCTGTGACGCCTTTGAAGGCGCAAACCAGTTAAAATAAGTACATGGGGATAGAAATAGTAACCAAACTATTACAGTCATCAGGACAGACTGCCTGGTAATTAAAGCATATCTCTGGCACTTCCTCAAGTTTCTGTGTTTCCTAAGCTGAAGTATTCAGATGAATCCATTATTTTGAAGGCCTCAAGTACTGCTGCAGGATACTGGAAACTCCCAACACCTATCGACTGTAGTAGAAAAACCTCAGTAATCAAAGATGATATTCATAATGACAACATAAAACATGAAACTCTTTGTTCCAACTCTTAGTCCTGTATCTTTAAAGCACATTAGATAGTGCTTTAAAAAAAAAAAAAAAATTCATTCACATTTCTGAAGCCCTTTAAGCCCACAAAAGGATGACAAATGTTACATTTACATAAAAACTATTGTTAGAGGAATGACAAGATGCTATCATAAAAGCAATAGCACCACATAGTTTAAAGCATTCTTAACATCTACATTGTTAGCTTAATATTTTAATCTGGTAATGAGCATATGAAACAAGATATGATAGACCAATTCTGTTCAGGATGTTCATAGCCACTACAGGTAGCTTCTCTTCTAGTAACCTCAGCTGTGATCTTCACAAGCAACACTCTATCAACCATATAGGACTTTTGAACTTGTCCTTCCTGACAAAAACCTGACAGGCATGAGAGGAAATTGCAAGGAAGCTTCAAAAGCCTGAACTTCAGCTCCTCTGATCTGTCATTAAATGAATTCCTTATGACCTGTAGTGCTTAACCAGAGTTCCACACTTTGCCCAAGCAACACAGTTAAATCAAAAAGAGGCACATACCCAAGCACAAATGGCACCCTGCAATTCCTTTAAATTAGCCAGAAGTCATGCAAAGAGTCCTACCTCATAGTCCAAGGAAGGATCTGGGGAATCATCAGTACAGTGAATAAATCTGGAAAAGTAAGACATGGGCATCAAAATCTGCTTTTACATGCAAGATTTTTGCTATAGTGAGAAAAAGAACCCCAAACTGTGAATCACAAAAGTTACTGTTAAATTCTCTCCAAGACATATAAACCAAGCACATCCAACACATAAAAAAGAAACCTCCTTTTGACAATTATTGGGGGGGAGGGGAGAAGAAATAAAAATGTAACCTTTTCACATAGTGTAATTTAGAAGCACTTAAATTTGAACAGGGATGTGGCTAAAATGTATTTATTCACTGTTGATTTTCTTCTGTTTGAATCAACAGTACTGCTCTTTTCCTTTTTGTTGTTACGTTGGCATAACTAGATCCTCAAAGAACCAGATAAACTTGAGCAATCTAATCTAGTTTCATTGCAGTGTGTTTTTCCTGGTACTTTTAATGTTTAACTTCCTAAACCACACAACAGAGACACATCATCATGCCTCAGAGCAGTTCGTTTCCATGAATAAGGGATGCAAAACCACTCACACTTCTGATTCCACAGCACGGTATCTTTCCAAATTAAGAGCCTTAAGAAATACTCTTACAAATCTCTGGAGAGTGGGAATAAACGGAATTATTTCCATAACTGCAAGCAGATGTCAAGGTTTTGTCCCCTGTGAGTAGCTGATTCTGGGTGTCACCTTTTAGGAGCTATCAAGAATGGAGGCAGTTATACCCAAGCCATTTTCTATGCCCCTTTTTGTCATTTTACAGCAAACCTTGCAGTAAATCCTGTAACTTCCAAAGGGAATTAGCAAAAGAACATGTGTTTTCCTTCCAAGCATACTCCCTGACCTTATTGGCAAACTACTTTGATGCACAGGACTGTGTAAAGGGTCACTATGGAGCAATAGTCTTAAATGGCAACATTTATACTGTCTTCCTTTGGCACTGAACTTGGTTAAGCAATCCAAAAGTCCAGCATCTCTAACATAAGCACTGCATTGTAAGACATGGCTGCCTAGCCTTCAGTTTGAAGTGAAGAGCTATTATAAGAGTTCATTCAGTATGCTGCCAGCAAAAATACGCCACACGTTTTAGTTTAGACTTTAATATCCACTACAGAGAGAAAAGAAGGGCGACAGCAGGCATGCTTTCCACAAGTACTGTAATCAAACAGATCATATATATCTGTAAGCCTATGTAAACAGATAACATCCTTCAACTACAGTTTATATTCCCCACAATTTAAGACCTGTCAAGGCAATAGAAACAAACCCATGAGAGCTTGCAGTCTTGCTAGACTCGAAATTCCACCCTTACTAGCATACATGCTTACCATGCTCAAGAAAATATCCCCCCCCCAACCCAATAATAAACTATATATTAAAAGGCAGTTGAAGTCCAGCACATGAAGTTTTACAGTCCCTGCACACCAGGACCTGTATCAGCTCTCACAAACTTCCATATCTGAGATCGGGGTACACGCAATCTGCTTCATTCCATTAACATGCAGTCTTTTCCAGCACTCAAAAAAAAGCCTTATCAGCAAACAACTTTCCCCTTCCTAACCCTCAAATATTTTGGGTGAGAGCTATGTGGGGACAGATACTTCTCCTTTCCTTGTAAGTCAGAAAATGAAACCCTGGGGTGTCATCCCAAGCCACACAGACTGCTCAAGTATTGCTGCCAAATCAAGCAAACAGGCAAAGTGATGTAGACAATGTAGACAAAAGTACTGCAAGACATAACATTATTTTTCTTGAGCCTTAATGACACAGGACTGAGTACAAATGAGGACAAAACAGGAAAATGCAGCGAAAGGCACACTTTTGTAGCCTCATTTTTCTTCTAAATAGTATCACGAGTTTTTGCCAACAAAAGGATGTAACTACCACCTCTTTCGGAGGGGTAAATTTTGGAGGTAGTTTTTGGTAAATCTGAGGTAGTTGCAATTTTATATTTTGTATTAATTTATTGTAGCATGAATTGTTCAGACCCAGCTGAATTCATGTATCACATATGGCCTTTCAATTGTAAGAGGCAGAAGGCTACGAGGGGTTTCTTTAACACACATCCTATTCAGGCTTGGAGGTACTTGAAAGAATGATCAGAGAGACTTTAGGAACCTAAAATTGAGACATATGTAGGCTCTCTTTTCTGAAGCCTTTGAAATCTGTCATTTGGAACACTACTAAGGGTCAAGGAAATAAACTCTACTGCTTTTAGGCCTTGGGCTGTGGTCAACAGCTCATTTATAGATTTATACTTAGACGCCAAGGACAGAAGGATCAAAGTCTCTATACATAGCTGCTGCATGCTAATCTCCAAATGCATGTACTTGACAACAGGACACACCACATGAAGCCATTATATGGTTCAGTTTTCAACACACAGAAAAGCAGTTTCAGAAGGTCTGGAGGAATACTGAAACCTACTGAAATGTAAGGACTTAAAGAAACAGGAAATTCATGCACTATTCAGAAAAGGATCTTCTACCATACTCTAAGTTGTTAGGAAAAATGGGATGAAAGTAAAACCTCAAGGGAAAAGAAAAAAACAAGGGCCTCATTTTCCACATGCTCTCATGTGAAACTGTCTACTTTGAAATAGGTTATACTAAATAAACTGACAGCTACTGTTCCTGCACAAAGGTATCCTGAGTGCCAAGTCACATATTTATGAGCCAACACTGCCTCCTATTTTCTGTTAGAAGAATGCAGCTTGTTACTGCACATCAGAAAAACTTCCTAATTGGTAGTTCAGTATTTAGAAGCATTAAGTCTGGTATCAAAAACATAGTCAGAATGCTAGCTTGAAAACAGAAAGGACTGAAACATCTGCTAGGCTTTACAGTTAAACAATGTGTTAGGAACCTGACAGGCTAAGCCTCACTCAAGAGCAGACTGTCTCAACTGTTATCAGAAACAGGCACTTAAATTTTAATCAAGCCCTCTTATAAACACCTAAATCAAACCAACTAACAAAAAAAATATATATATCTCCCCTCAGGCTCCTTTGAGTCTTGCACATTAATACATTTGGACACTTTTCCCTGGCCCAGTGTGAGTTGTTTCAGCTGTTCCAGTAACCCAGTAGGTATTTTTTTACCTACTAGAAGTGGCGTAAGTGTTCCCTTCACTCTGTTTCTTGGGCTTAGGAAGGGTTGAGGGGCTACTTTTAGGCACTTCACCTATCTAACTAGTTTCTCAAAGAGTTCACAGGAATGAACTTCTGCAAGTAACAGGTCCAGAGCACCAGATGGTCCAATACTGACTCAGTTTACAACACTTAAGTTATCCCCCTCTAAACACTATCCCACTTAGTGCTTTTCAGGCCACACCTGGAATACTGTGTTCAGTTTTGGTCCCTGCTCTACAAAAAAAGATGTGGACAGGCTGGAGAGAGTCCAGAGAAGGGCCAAAAATATGATCCCAGGACTGGGAAGCCGTGTGAGGAAAGGCTGAGAGAACTGGGTCTGTTCAGCCTGGAGAGAAGGCGACTCAGGTGAGAATTTACCACCATGTTCCAGTAATTAAAAGGTGGTCACAAAGAATATGGAGACACCCTTTCTACAAGGAGTCACATGGAAAAGATGAGGGGTGATGGGCACAAGTTACTCTGGGGAGAATCCAACTGGACACAAGAGGAAAATTTTTCACAATGACAATCATCCATTGGAATACTCTCCCCAGGGAACTGGTGGATTCCCCAGCCCTGGACACCTCAGATTGAACTGGGATATACTTTGCCTTCAAAGGTTGGACCAGATGATCCCTGAGGTCCATTCCAACCTAGTATTCTATGATTCTATGAAGTACACATCAGAAAACAGCCATTCTTGCACGTGACTCATACTGTCCCTCTACAGTAAGTCAAAGGGCAATTGCAAAAGTTCTTCTCTGCATTAGACTGCTTTTCAACAAGGTTGAACTTACAGGACTTATTTCACCTCTCCAACTGTGATTATTAAACAACTGGGAAAATAACACTGTAGCATTCAAAATCCCAACAGTAGCAGCTGCAGATGTAAAACATCCAGTATTGCCCTGTAGAACACGAACAATCTCTGAAGTTTGACTAAGTTTCCAAGGTTTATTGACAAGCCTGATATAACAACATGGTTATTTGATCATTGAAAGGTTATTACTTATTGATCATTAGAGCTACTGCTAATATACCAGGCTCAAGGTGGGCAATTATGTCTTAACTAAATGCAGTCCACACATTCTAACAATAAGGAAGAAAACTGCATTCTAAACCAACACACTCAACAGGGCTTGAAAAGGATTTTTGTTCAAAAGAGGAGTTTCAATCACTTAACAGAAATCCCATTAGAAAGGGATTTTTTTTTTTACACCACATACCACAACATGAAGGTTTTGAAAGTCTACATTAAAACCTGAAAAGGATCACACCACACACAGGGGGTTTTTTATGAACTCAGCTAAGTAAAATGCAGTGCTTACTTTGAAGCAGAAACAACACTGAGTACATTGAGTACATGGCTCTGAAGTCTTTGTTAATTTATACAAAATTAACAAGGAGGAAAGTTAGCTCATTATTCTGAACTTTTCAACCAAACAAAGTGTCAAAATCATGACAGAACCCAAACATTTTAAATAGTCAAAGCTTATCTAGTCATGCTCAGTATATCTGCATGAAAGACATGTTTTTTTAATGGTTGCTGAAGTGTTGCATAGCTGAAGATGTCTTAGAACTTGAGAGGGCTGAGAATTACAGTAAGGGCAGTCCCTGACCTGAACAACACGCAGATTGATGCCAGGTAAGCAGATGGGAAACGGGACAGAAAGGAAGAGGCAAAGAAAGTGGTTTGCCTGAAGTCCCACATCACTGGCAAAGCTGGATTAAGAAACAGACCTTCAAATGGCTATTGTAAAGTCGTTTCCATACTCTGACCACGAAGTGGATTTTCAAGCTAATACAATTGAACAGAAAACAAAACAACAACAAAAGGCTATACAACATCTCAGCTGTTACGCATGCAGGGCAAGAAACTTTTAGACCATATTGAGTATTAATGAAACATAGTGCATTTAGCCTCCCTCTGACTAGCCCTTCCAAGGGATTTGGATGTATTATATAGCCAATTCCCATTTGTTCAGCACTTCAGGTTCCTATGCCAGCAACATTTTTACTTTCTTGCTTGCAAAGGACTAGGGAACTGGCAGCTAATCGATAGTATGATTAAGGAAGAGCACTGTTCTGATTCAGCAGCAATCATTTCACTCTTTGGCTGGGGACATTTTGTACAAATAACTTAGTAATTTAGAAATACCCTGCACAGATTGGCCAATGATATGTGCCTTAATCAAGTACAACATGTTTGTAAAATACAAGATACACAGAGACCAAAGCGATTTTACACATTACACACGTTCCCCTAGTCCTAAGTACAACTTCCATTCAAAGTCATGGAAACAGCAAGGCTGCACTGTGCATATTAAATTTACCCTACCAGACCTGTCAAAAAAAACCCCATAACCCAAATTTATACCGACATTTGATTAGAATTTACAGGAAGGGAAATAAATTCAACACTTCTCAAATGAAATTTAACCTTTAGATTAGGTGATGAGCCCACAATCACGTCACAAGGTTTGCTTATTTACCACCCGCTACCTGAGCTGTGCTATCTGGCAGTGTGTGGTCTTATCACATTGGAAAAGGAGTCTAAATAGATTGAGCTACTGCAATTTGAGGTGTTGTCTTTCTGCTAGAGGTTATTCTCCCACAGCAGGATCGGTGGAAGACAGCATGCCTTCTACAGGCTGCTCAGCCACTATCATTCGTAGTCTGGTGTGAACTTCAGGTGGAATTACTGATGGTTCAAGTTAACACCCCTGCTGTGAAATCTCACAACACAGGAGCTAGGATGCATTCATTGCCTCTACCACCAAGTCAGCACTGTCTGCAGAGGGCAAGGTGAATGGCTGAGGCACTAACTTTACCTGATGTGAGAGAAAACCTGACAGAAAACGCACTCATTTCAGTCTCAGTGAGGGTGGTTCAACCAACTCATTCTCCCACAGAAATGGCATAGAATAAGAGCACAAACACACACAGAGAGCTGCCACATCTTCTAAATCAAGTGGTGCTTGCTAAACACATGATTGTATCCCAATTGATTAGAAAATGGTTAACCAAATAGGAATTCTCCAAGGAGCTCGGGGTACTTTCTCCTGAACCTCTTTAAACATGAGGATAGTAGAATACAAACCCTGTATTATTTAATATTCACAAAAGGGATAATACAAAGTGTACGGTTCTTTTCACACCAGCATCTTCCTCTCCCCTCCTTCTCAGCCTCTTCCCCTGCACCTCATCATGTCACAGGTTAGACATAATGTAAAGCCCAGCACCAGAACTGGCCTGACAGTGTTGCTAGCACTCCATAAATGCAGAGGTAATGATAAGGATGCCGCTAGCTATCATTTCTTTCATGTACCAACAAACTAAGGGATGGGGAAACAGTTATCAGAGTCGCAGGACTTGAAGGCAGCAGTTGCACTGCATTTAATGCAACTGGTTTCACATTTTAGGCAAGACAATTCTTACCACATCACAAGCTACTTCACACAGGAAGTCACATCACAAACTACTTCACATTCTATAAAGTACCTAGAAGGGCCCTGCATTTGATTGAGTCTTCTAAATACTGCAGTAAAATAAACAAGCATTGAATAATTACTGGAGAACAATCTAATCCAAGCCATGGACTGGCCTTTTGCTTTAAAATTCTGCTTTTCTGAGAAAGAGAATAACAATTAAAAAAAAATTAAAATAGTAACAGGGACATTAAATTCCAATAATTTTCTTTCAGGAAAAGGCTGCATTTTAGAAATGAGTGACAAGAATCAGATGCAGGTTCTCCAGGAGGAATATGTTCCTATACAATTATAGGCTCTGTTCCTGTCAGCAGATAAAATAATTCCCAAGCATGTCAGATCTGGTTTTTTAACTGTAACCATTATCCATAGTCACAGTTCCTGAAGTGCATTTGTTCAAGAGCTACAAGAACCTGGGTTCAGAAGCAGCTCGAGGAACACATTCGCACAAGTGCCAGGCATCTTCCACAACTTCAAATTCAACAGCACAACAGAAACTTCAATAGCTTTAAAATTTGAAAGGGACATGGTAAAGTCAAGCTGTGTAACCATGAGAAGCAGCGACAATAAGGTAGGACCAAGTAAATACTAAAAAGGGTGGGGAAGAAAAAACCTGTACAACCAAGATTAAAACATCACTTCCTGTGGAAAGCAACTCAGAAAAATGGTCTTAGTCCATAGTGTCATTTTGCATGTACTATTTGAATATCATATAGAATGGTTTGGGGTGGAAGGGACCTTAAAGCTCATCTATTCCAACCCCCTGCCACAGAGCAGGTTGCTCCAAGCCCCTGTGTCCAACCTGGCCTTGAACACTGCCAGGGATGGGGCAGCCATAGGTTCTCTGGGCACCCTGTGCCAGCGCCTCAGCACACTCACAGGGAAGAACTTCCTCCTAATATCTAATCTAAATGTCCCCTCTGTCAGTTTAAAGCCATTCCCCCTTGTTCTAACATCTTCCTGTTTTGAATTTACTCATTTGCATATTAAAATCAAGAGAACTAACAGAAGAATAAAACAGAGGCTGCTCCTCTCTTGTTGACTGAAGCTAGGTAAACAATTCCAGTTTACTAGGAGAGACTCACTCACAGCAAGTAACAATGAAGATAATTTGCCTTGCAATTCTCCACACTAAATTGGACTAAATTGCCTTGCAATTCTCCACACTAGCATTAATCTTTGCACTATGAAGGGAGACAAAGAAGGAAGGAAAGGGTGGGGGGAACTTCAAAGAACAACTAACTTATTACCATATCTGAAACTACTGTACCCAAACAACTTTTAAACATGAATATGTATGTTTGTATCAGATGTTTATCCTTGCTGTACAGTAAATAGTAAGATCTTTCAAAAGAACTGAAAAGTTACCCTCAGATGATTGAGGGGGTTTTTTGTCTGGGTATAAATAAGAGTGCTAGAAGTCTACTTACGGCTGAGTGAGGTCACGAGTGATGAAGTCTGAACTCTTGAAGAGGAGGAAGATGTCACTGAGAGCTTTACATTTCAAAGAACTGTTCATTGCTATCCAGTAGGCATCCTAAACAAAAAAGATTATCCTAAATGCACCTTCACCAGCAGGAAGGAATGCAAGCTGCAGATCTAGCTAAATATTATACAGCATTTGAAATACGGACAGAAGATTTATTTTATGTTGAGGAAAACTTCATTTGCTGAAGTTCACATTACAAGATAGAGGAGAGTTACTGTTTTTCATATGAATACTCCGTATAAAGCAGAGCATATTCATTTAAAAAAAACAAGTTTTGCCTTCCTGTTCCAGGCACTTTCTTGGAATGCTTGACTAAACACAAGTTTGCCTTGAGATTATGACACAAACACATTTGGGTGTCTCCATCCTTAAGGTATAGTTAAGAGTACCCAAATATACCTAGAAGGAATCATAGAATGGTTTGGGTTGGAAAGAACCTTAAGATCATCTAGTTCTAACCCCCTGCCATGGGCAGGGACACCTCACACTAGACTCTGTCACCCAAGGCTCTTCCAACCTGGCCTTGAACACTGCCAGGGATGGAGCATTTACCACTTCTCTGGGCATCCTGTGCCAGCGCCTCAGCACGCTCACAGTAAAGAACTTCTTCCTTAGATCTAACCTGAACTTCCCGTTTTATTGCTTTTTTTAAAAAAACATGGGGATTTTAACCTTTATCCCAGGCAGAGTTTCCAACTAGTATCCTAAATGAGAAGGCTCTGGCCATCATACTCTTATCTGTGACAATGACAGGAGGCTTTATGTAAGAAAGCCAGGGCTGTCTTACATCAGCCTCACCAAACAGTGCACCATCTAGCTCTAATTCACCAGAACAATTTGCTCTATCATACTTCACTGATATCTTGTCTATCACTTCTTCCTTCATCACTACACTCTTACACTTCCTAGTGCATTAAGATAAAACAAATAATCAAAAAAGTCTTTATGATAACATCTGTTCCAAGTTTTGGGAGTCAGCGTTCTTACCCTTGGAGCACTCCAGTTAAGTTTAGGAAAAACACTACCACCCAGGGAACTTATTGCTTCTTCAACTTTGGCTGTGAACTCGGGAAATTCAGGTGCCTGAACAAACAACAACAACAAAAGTATCAGTTTCAATATATTTAATAGTGAAGTGTAGCCATCTTCCAAATACTGTTAGAAATACTATTAACATATTAATAAATTAAACATATTATAGAAGGAAAAAATATGTCCACAATCAGGAACCAAGAACCCCCCAAAATAATGTATTTGTAGAAATAAATCACTTAAGATTCGACATCGACATTCAGTCAGAGAAAACTGTGACTATGTCCCCTGTTCTCTCATTACTGGCAAGATTCCATGAACCTAAGGGAAAACCCAAAACTTTGTAACATTCCTCATGAAAGCTGCAACAGCTGCAAAAGTGCAAGTCAAATAAACAGACCTTGAACACCTACCTGTTGGTTTATACCTAATTATTGTATACAAATGAAATCCAAGAAGATTTAAAAGAAGAAAGCTTTCAAAAAGCTTGTTAGAATTAAGCATCTCTAAAAATCTAAAATACAAATATGGTAGCATTCTGTCAAAGTATTAACAGGAGAAAGAGAGACTTTCTGGTTTGTAATAGATCTCCAGTTCCATTCAGGAACACAGTAAGAAAGCAAAAGTAAGTCAGTCAATAAATGGCAGCTCTTCATTCAAGCATTAGTTTTATAAAATGATATTAGTAATACTTTAACAAATCAGCTCTCAAATTAGGTCTTAAAGCAGCTCCTTAGCAATATATTGCACCAAAACAGAGAACACACTGCAAAGGTATGGGTTGGATTAGAAAACTTTGTCTTGTAAAGAACATTGTCAATATTGTAAATATAAGAGGAAAAAAGAAACTCCTCAGGATGCAGTAAACTCCACTCTGAATGTGGTGCAGTTGAAAAAAAAAACCCAGGTTGGTGACCTTTAAAATAATATGAAAGGATTTCAGGTATATGTCAAAGATTTTTCACATAATAGGATTTATAACCAGTATACAAGAACACTGCTTCTCCTGAGTGTTTTGAAACTCAACTCAAAGATAACTTCCAGGCTAAAGCTAAGTGATGTCTTTAAACCAACAAAGCCCTCACAGCCACACCAAACAAGTTCATACATTTTGGCATCTGCTTTCTGCAGCCCCCTGAAATCCAAACACTTGAGAAAACCCTCTTGCATTTTAGCACAATGACCCAGCCTGAACCTCAAACTGTCTGAACCTTTCCTTAGTACATTACCTGGTCTCCATGGAAAACTACCCCTGAAAAACTGAAAAAGCACTTCTCTTATTTTATTTTTAGAGCTTCAGTCAATTCTAGAAATTGTTCCTGCAAGAAGTAAAACCCTTCATTCACTGCGTTCTCATCCAATCTCTTCCTGTTTTGACCCAAGTCAGGAGTCACACTGTATATGTAATAACAGCATATCCTAAACTTCCCTGGGGGAATGTTACCATCATGTCATTTGATTAATACAAGTGAAGAAACATATACAAGAGGACAGCTCTAAGGCTGCATAAACAAGCTTGATTCTAACATTTCCTAAATTCTGAATGCCCAACTTTGCAACCATCAATATTACTGCACACTTCTTTAAACAAAGGTTTTTCTATAATCCTATATGCTAATTCTTCATAAGATAGACAGGGAAACAAGTTCTACCTGGCAACTCAGGCAGGTCTTCAAATCAGAATAATCACATCCACAGCCTACTGTATTGCTCCCTGAGCCAAGAAACCAATACCAATATAACCTGGGACTTATCATGAGTAAGATATGAATGAACGGTCCAGGCTGACAGTGAATAGAAAATAGCAGTCTCCAGCCTGTCCCACTCTTCTTTACACTTTATGTCCCCTGGTTTCTCCCTGTTCAGCTTACATATCACTACTTCACAGAATGACAGACTGGTTTGGGCTAGAAGGGACCTGAAAACTCATACAGCTCCAACCCACTGCTACAGGCAGGGACACCTTCCACTAGAGCAGGTTGCTCCAAGCCCCTGTGTCCAACCTGGCCTTGAACACTGCCAGGGATGGGGCAGCCACAGCTTCTTCGGGCACCATCTGCCAGCGCCTCAGCACCCTCATAGTGATCTACTTGATCCATTTTCATCTCCTATGCACTCCAGGTGCAGCTCCCCACCCTTCTGCATTCTGCATGAAACTATTCCCAACTCGCTGGCCTCAAAGCAGTACCTAGTTTTCAGGTAGAGAAAGCATATTTGCCGTGATGGAGTCATCAGAGCAATCATCTATCAAATTTGCAAGATAGTTAAGAGCATATTGTGAAATTCTACTTTCAAGAGCCTCTTTCTTTGTCCAAATGTAGGTGTATTTTTGTAGGAGCTAGCCATGGGCACAAACCATAGAATAATAGGATCAACGAGGTTGGAAAATGTTTATTATTAACCATTTTCAAAGGTCCAGGTTTGGTGAAAGACAAAGCTCTGCCAGTCTCTGAACAATAGCCACCTTGGAGGCCAAAACACTGCTCTTCTTCCTCTACCCCTGCTTTTACTGCTGAGCATGATGCTATAATGGTATGGAATATACCTTAAGACAATTTAGGTCAGCTGTCGTGGCTATGTCCTCTCTCTCCTCTTGCCTAGTCCTGCTGGGGAGAAGCATGGGGCAGAGTGGGAAAAGAGAAAGCTTTGATGCTATGCCAGCACTGTTCAGCAACACCTGAAAGTTAACTCCATCCCAGCCAGCCCCTGTAAAACATTAGCTGTAAAGCTGCAATCCTCACAATGCTCACATAGCTAAACTGAAACCACTTGGTCTGTACCCTTCTGATGGGTATCATACCTCTTGAACATGTATTTCCTTATTGTGTTGTACGTTGTAATGAAACTTGATTCTAAAGTTTGACATTTCTGTAGCTGCATTAACGTGAGATTTGCAAAAGATCAGACGGATACCAAAATCCTTGTTCTGACTAATTTACAATCTAAAGTATCTACTTTATCAAAGCTTAGATACTTGAACTGAAGCTATTATCATGTGCAAATCTGGCATGAAATAGTTTTATAATCTAGGCTATAAATTCTGTGCTAGCATATGGATGACTCAGAGCAGGGTTGTGTTTATATTGCCTCTAATACACTGTGAGCAATTCAACACTGATGAGCATAAGGAGGCTGATAGGACTGAAGTAACAGTACCAATGGCAGACAAGTGACACAAGTATATTAACTCTGATGATGGTAGAGCAAGAGCAAGTTTCAAAAAAGATGGGGTTGTTCAGCCTGGGGAAGAGAAGGTTCTGGGGAGACCTTAGAGCAGCTCGAGTGCCTAGAGGGGCCGACAAAAAACCTGGAGAGGGGCTTTGGACAAGAGCCTGTAGGGACAGGACAAGGAGAAGGGCTTTAACCTGTCAGAGGGGAGGCGGAGATGAGCTCTTAGGCAGAAGCTCTTCCCTGTGAGGGTGCTGAGGCGCTGGCACAGGGTGCCCAGAGAAGCTGTGGCTGCCCCATCCCTGGCAGTGTTCAAGGCCAGGTTGGACACAGGGGCTTGGAGCAACCTGCTCTAGTGGAAGGTGTCCCTGCCCGCGGCAGGGGTTGGAACTGGATGAGCTTTCAGGTTCCTTCCAAACCAAATCATTCTATGATTCTACCATCAAAGAAGCCTGCTTGGTATCCATCATGATCCTGAATTCTAAGCCAGGCACATAAAGACAGGAAAAGAAGAAAGAAAAAAAACAGATGATAGAGAGAGGAAATAATGGCACAGCACAGGTGTAAGAGGAGATTTTAAAATTGAGCTGCAGGGGCTTTGTTTCTTCTGCATCCAGTGTGATTAAGTAATTGGAAAATATTCAAAGTGGTGAAAATGAAAAACAGCTATATTTAGAGCCATACTCCAGTTCATTTCCTATAGTCTAACAAGTGTGTGATTGTTAGGGATGAAGAAAAGCATTTTATTTTCAGTTAAACAAAATTAAGCTAGCAAAACTTTTTTGAAGTTACATATATCTACACTGCCATCTGCCTAGAATGGTCTGGAAAATGTTAAATACAGCAAAGAATATCTCTAACTGGCAACAAGTTTGGATCACAAGGTTACAGAAAGGCAAACCCACATGTTAGCACCTTACCTTAAGTGTTGTAGTATTCTCATCATCTGACCACTGTTAAAAACAAGAAGAAATCAAAGGTTACTCGTCTTCTGAGCTCCTTTATCATTTATGAGAACATCAGAATTCATCTAGCTTCCTAAAACATGTGGATCAAATCATTGCCCTGAAGCTCCAGTAGCAAAACATCACAATCCTCCAGTTATTACAGCTGTAAATGAAGACAGGAAAAATATTGTATATTCAGCAAAAAACTATTCTAAAGTATGGATAAAGAAGGCACCTGTGTATTTTAATTGTGATTTATATCACAAACTCAGACGTTTCAGAACTCCACAGCCTTCCCTGTCTAAAGCCTGTCTCCAGCACTTCCACCCTTGGACAAATGATTCATTAGTTTCACTTATATTTCTTTTTCCTCCCATTTTGTACCTTCTGTCACCTTTTACTTATGTTTTTCAGCATTTTTCTTGTGGAATACCCTTCTGAGCTATTATGGTACCAGACACTTTAATTGTTTCTTGAAATAACTCCTCCAAATGTTGTACTCGTATCTTCTCAGGGCATGAAACAGCATTAAGTTCAGTTCCAACATCCTTCAACATTCTCTACCCTTTATTACAAACACAATTATCAAGAAATAATAAAAGAGCAGTCTTCTGTGAAAGAGCACAAAAACATTTTAAACCTTCCATGACACTATAAATAATGCTTTTAATTTTTTTTTCAAGGCAACTACCACATGATTATTCTTTCTGTGAAGCACTCTCCTCACCTACAAATTACGCAGAAAAGGCTACACATTCATATTTTTCTCAGGAGACTTGGCATTAAGTTGCTTTTTATACTGACCTGTACTTCCTCTGCATCATCACTCCCCTCCTGAGCATGACTTGGTGGATCTTCTCTGAAATAAAAAATAAGCCAGAAGAAAGATTAGGCACTAGAGTTTGACTTGACCATATCATTCATGGAGTCAAGAATGGGTCGGAAATGACCTTAAGATTCCAACCCCCTGCCATGGGCAGGGACACCTCACACCAGCCCATGTCACCCAAGGCTCTGTCCAGCCTGGCCTTGAACACTGCCAGGGATGGAGCATTCACAACTTCCTTGGGAAACTTTTTCCAGTGCCTCACCACCCTCACAGTACAGAACTTCTTCCTTATATCCAACCTGAACTTCCCCTGTTTCAGTTTGAACCCATCACCCCTTGTCCTATCACTACAGTCCCTGATAAGGAGTTCCTCTCCAGCATCCTTGCAGCCCACTTCAGCTATTGGAAGGCTGCTCTGAGGCAGCTTCTAGCAGCTGTTGATCTCAAAATGTTTTTGTAAGAAGATTAAGCCTCAAAACCCCTGGCAGAGAAAAATCAGAGCAAGCCAGTACAGAAAACTGAAAACCAAGCACCCTAGCACTAGACTTGGGCCCTACCCAAAACACTTTGCTTCTTTCAAATTAGCAGATCACTTTCTGCTTCAAAAATGCCACGACTGAAGCTTTTCAACTCCCTATGAATGATTCTTTTCCAACTTTACTGTACTCTGACAGAAGCACAAATTAAACTTTTATTTAAATTCTCTTTGCCTCCATACTGCTTTTCCAAGTAAAAATTCATAAAACTTTAGTTTCAGATGTTGATCTGCAAATTTCTGGTTCTGAAAAGAAAACATCCTCCCACTCTACACAACAAAAAGATCCTAATAACACAGTTATTAGCTTCTTCCTGAAAAGTTCCTTTTTCTACACAGATGGGATAGTTGTAAGCACTACAAAACAAGAAAGCACTTGACTGCAAATATTCCCTTGACGTTTTAGGTGACATATGAAGTTCTTTAGCTAATACAACTGAGTGTGAAGATCTTAAAGAAGATCAAGCTCTTGACTTATTCAGCAAGTCAGTAGAGAAAACATCTTAAGTTCAAATGTAGGTCTCTGCCAAAAGTCAACTCTTCAACAAGCTAAGTCTCTGCAGCCCCTTAATGTACTTCCATAGGGAATAAACTATCAATTCATTTTTTGAGATCTAGAGCTCAGATACTGGTTCACTGAAGATTAAAAGCGATCCTGGCCTTGAATGCAGTATCACATTCACTTCTAGCTAAGAAAGTTCAACTCAGAGAAAAACTGGTTTGTAAAAGGAATTTTCGATTGGAAGCATCTTAAAAAGCACAATTTAAGTCAATTCTCCAGCTGTTCATTATTGGACTGAAAAGAGCCCAAAATGTTTGTATAACACAGCTGTAAAGTCAGTTGCAGCTTTTCTAAAGGCTTATTAAAAAATAAATAGCTGCTGCTAAAGAAGTTGCACAATTCTGCAGAAGCAGGTGACAAAATTGCTTCTTATCCAAAATGGTTTAAAAACAATTCTAATTTTCTGGATACCTTTTATTTAAAAACAAAACAAAACAAAAAAAAAAAACCAAAAAAAAAACCCCACACCAAAAAAACCAGCTTCAGTTTTATACAAATTGATTCCAGAGAAATTAGACACAGCTCCCTTACCCTCACAGCTTAATTGGTTGCTCTGTGAGAGGCAAACTACCAGTCAGGAAATGATGGGAGTGTGGACTGGTTTCTGAGCCTGATCATTAGCCAGGTGTAGCATGAAATAATCATTGTACAAGGAAGCCATAGCGAGATTCTAAGCAAAAGACAAAGAACAAGCCCTGGGTTCTTACCAAGTGTTACAATATCTATCCACCTCAATTCTTCTCCATCCAAAATCTTGGCACAGGGATACATACGTACAGGACATTCAGCCTTGCCATATGCATGGATTATGTGTATGTGAATGATTACATGAACTCAGTAATTACTAGGATTTTACGTATAGCATCCAGGTGGACTTTAATATGCTCGAGAGGTGGGCCAGTGCAAACCTCATGAAATTCAACACGGCCAAATGCAAGGTCCTGCACTGGTGTCAGGGCAATCCCAAGCACAGATACAGGCTGGGCAGAGAACAGACTGAGAGCAGCCCTGAGGAGAAGGACTTGGGGGTGCTGGTTGATGAGAAGCTCAACATAACCAACAATGTGCACTTGCAGCCCTGAAAGCCAACCATGTCCTGGGCTGCATCCCATGAAACGTGACCAGCAGGTCAAGGGAGGTGATTCTCTGCCTCTACTCTGGTCTCGTGAGACCCCTCCTGCAGTCCTGTGCCCAGCTCTGAGGCCCCCATCAAGGACATGGACCTGTTTGAGCAAGTCCAGAGGAGGCCACGAAGAAGATCTGAGGGCTGGAGCACATCTACTATGGAGCCAGGCTGAGAGAGCTGGGCTGGTTCAGCCTGGAGAAGAGAAGGCTTCAGGGAACCCTAAAGGGTGTCTGCAACAAAGCTGGAAAAGGACTTTTACAGGCCATGTAGGGATAGGATAAGGGGGAATGGTTTCAAGCTGACAGAGGGGAGATTTAGATTAGACATTAGGAAGAAATTCTTTACTATGAGGGTGGTGGCACAGAGTGCCCAGAGAAACTGTGGCTGCCCCATCCCGGCAGGGTTCAAGGCCAGGGTGGGCAAAAGGGGAGCAACCTGGTCTAGTGGAAGGTGTCCCTGCCCATGGCAGGTGGTTGGGACTGGACGAGCTTTAGGGCCCCTTCCAACCCAAACCATTCTATGATTCTATTATACTGAGAATTAATCTCAGGCAACATCACTTTACCCCTGGATAAGGCAGCAGGCACGTTATTGGTGTGGGAGACACCATGCCTCTAAACTGAGTTAACCATATCAAAGTAGGCTGGGCACCCAAGAGACTGGCAAACTCCACAAAGACAGACAGAGCAAAACTGAAAGAACTGTTTCCACTTGGTCTAGAATGAATGTATAGCATCAATTTTAGGTTCTGCATGAGGCACAGCAAGTAGTTGCATTGACAGCACCAGCCTGCTCACATGCTCGTACAGTGTGAGCTTTACTGCAGCCAGACTAGTCACATTTTAAAAACTCATTATGCAAGATATGATATGTGTAAACAAAATAGTGCTGTGAATACATCAAACAGTATTACTAGTTTGAGGGGAGAGGGAGAACACTCTTTACCTTCCAGAAACCACAAGCGTTCCATCATCCAGCAAATATTCTTTCACATTCTCTGGTAGGGGAAGTATAACACTAGAAGAAATATAAGAATTTCTTTAATAACTTATTATTATTTGTTAAAATAGTAAGAGTTGAATATAAATAACGTGTTTTAAAACATACCATTATTTCAATGTGTTTTATTTTTCCCTAACACTAGGAAAATCCCATTTCTGTCTCCCCTCTCACTCCTTCCCACAAATCAATGCCCATTTTCCCTCGAAAAGTAGAAGTAGAGGAAGAAAAAGACAAAGTAGAGCAGAAAAAGACAAAAATTTTCACTGAAATGCACAAAAACACCACACTCCTTCAAAACCCTAAGAAATCCCAAGGAAGAGTGCATGTGGCCCATGAGAAGTGGACAAGATGTTGCTCAATGTCAAGGTTTCCCTTCCGAGATCCAACCCAAAACTTGCACATACCATCCACATGTTCCAAAAGTGCAGGACTATCACTAAACTTACCAAACACACACATGTGCTGAGCTCTGTAAGCCATAAAAGTTTAAATGCTTTGATTACTAAAAGCCTGTTGTCAGCACTTTTGGATCCAACTACCTCAAGCCTGACTGTCCCAAGTTACTGGCAGCTCTCACAACCATCTCGTGACCTGCAGCAGCACCTCAGAAACTGCAGCATTTGCTACAGCTTCCAGAAACACGAAGGGAGCCGCTTGGTTTGGGTGTGCTCAGCCTCAGTTCCTTTGAGCTACCAAGTGGGAACAGCAGTGATGTGGGTATCAAGCCTTCCCCGCCTCCATCCCAGCTCTGCCC